GGTTTAGCAAGGAATGGTTTATGATGATTTGGGGGAAAAAATGAAAATTGGATAAAGAACCAGCTTTTTTCATTCTTCCTTCCCCTTAAAACCATATATTTTCCACCATTCAAGGAAAAATACGCGAAGAAGCATTAATAACTTCTAGGGGATAAAAATCATTTTAAAGGGCCGGGGGGGAGAAAAACTTTTCGAGATAATATACACCCCTGAAACGGTAAAAATGATGAGTCTGTAATAGTTCTGGAATTGATAAACAAAATAGACAAATTCACGGATTGCAGTTTTATTAGAGTCTATCAATATACAGTGGTAACCAGAAACTTGTAGAATAGTAAGACGACATTAAAACAATGTGAGAGTGCGTTACAAAGCATATATCTAGTTTTACTAGTAACTTATTAAATCACTTATTAAGTTAAATGGGTCTGTTTACATTGCACAATTTTTAAGTGCCTCGAGTTCACTTGACTATTTGAAGTTATAACTCTTGAGTCTTAAAGTTGACTTCCTATTCCAGAGATTTCTGATTATCACTGTACAAAACTTCAATTTGCAACTAACTTAATGTTTTTTGGGACACCCTGTATATGAAGAGAAAAAAAAGGATTACCTAAATCCAAGCTTCCATGGATTAGACGAATTATCATCATTATCACTGTTATAATCATCCTCTTGTAATTAATCATTTTTAAACATTACCCCAACAAAACTTTAATTTAACTCTTTCACTAAAATTATTGATGAAGATTTTGAATGTTAATGCTTGATTGTCGGATAGATACTGGTGATAAATTTGCATGGTTTATTTATAATTCATAATTGTAAAATTCAACGAAATCAACAAGCGGAACATACACTGAATTTGTTCTCCTTAATTTCGGTACATAGTATACATACTACAGTACATAGTATACATACTACAGTACATAGTATACATACTACAGTACATAGTATACATACTACAGTACATAGTATACATACTACAGTACATAGTATACATACTACAGTACATAGTATACATACTACAGTACATAGTATACATACTACAGTACATAGTATACATACTACAGTACATAGTATACATACTACAGTACATAGTATACATACTACAGTACATAGTATACATACTACAGTACATAGTATACATACTACAGTACATAGTATACATACTACAGTACATAGTATACATACTACAGTACATAGTATACATACTACAGTACATAGTATACATACTACAGTACATAGTATACATACTACAGTACATAGTATACATACTACAGTACATAGTATACATACTACAGTACATAGTATACATACTACAGTACATAGTATACATACTACAGTACATAGTATACATACTACAGTACATAGTATACATACTACAGTACATAGTATACATACTACAGTACATAGTATACATACTACAGTACATAGTATACATACTACAGTACATAGTATACATACTACAGTACATAGTATACATACTACAGTACATAGTATACATACTACAGTACATAGTATACATACTACAGTACATAGTATACATACTACAGTACATAGTATACATACTACAGTACATAGTATACATACTACAGTACATAGTATACATACTACAGTACATAGTATACATACTACAGTACATAGTATACATACTACAGTACATAGTATACATACTACAGTACATAGTATACATACTACAGTACATAGTATACATACTACAGTACATAGNATAAGGGAAAACGTTTCAAAACGTTTTCATAAACAGTAATGCATTTTTCAGTTATACAACGTTACACTTTTTATAAGTTGAACTTTGAAATAGAAATCCTTTCGTTACGATATTCAATCAAATCACAATTCATTTTTCAAACGTTAGACTTTCAAGCTCCCCTTGGAAACAAAACATTTCTTTACGTTATGGTCAAAAAAGTTGTAGATATTAGAAAAATAACGTTACATTTCCACAAAACGCTAACGTTGGGGATATATTCCTCTAATGTTAACGTTAGGTATGAGCTCTTATAACGTTAACGTTCACGTTATATAGAATATATCCAAACGTTACACATTATTGTAACGTAACGTTCAAAAACGTACATTGTACGTTACGTTACACTATCGTTGACATCTCTAGTACATACAAATGCTAATATTTTGAATTATTTTGCAGCACTTTTTTAAGAAACATAGTGTGGAAAGCTAGAACAATATATACCATATTAATGTATAATCAAGTTAGATTTGAGGTTGGTAGCCCTTTAAGATTAAAGGGACTGTTTTCGTAATTTTAAGCGACTCTCCATGAAAAGATAGCAATGCCCAATTCACAACGAATCATGAAACTTTAATCTGATCAAAAATGTGGTGATTCAGTCGTTTTCTAACTCAAAAAGTGTTTATTACAGTTTAAATAAACAAAACTGTGGAAATCTAATTACTAATTGGTCAGACAAAGCTTTTAAGGGCACCGTTGTAAATCGAACATTGCCAATCTTTGCAGAGAGGGTCAATTGAAATTACGCTTACGGTACTTTTAAGCTTAATCAAAAAGCGTTTCATGTCTCATTCAACGGAACAAAAAGACATCATTGTTTTTCTTTTTTTAAAATATTTAAATTCTTTTAATTTCCCTCTCCGTTCTCTACCTCTATTCCGCAGTGTAAAACAATCAACTATGATATTAGAAAACAAGGATATCTCCATCATTAAACAATTTACTGCTTTTGTCACTGACAAACGCTATGTAGAAAAGTAATAAGGATCAAAATCCATATTGAAAGATAGGTTCCATTGCTTTCAGGACTACCGTTATGTTTACTTATATAAACATAGTGGTTGCATAACCTGCTGATTTATACCGTGACTGACTGATTAATTGACACCGGGGTTTTCCACCAATAATTGGATCCTAGCCAGGGCTGGGCGACGTTATATTAACGAAAGTCAAGTTTTTGAAAATTACGATCGATTCCGTTATCAACAGGCAACACCTGTTAATTTTGAAAATTACGAACGGTTCCGTTAACAACAGGCAACACCTGTTGATTTTGAAAATTACGAACGATTCCATTAACAACAGGCAACACCTGTTAATTTTAAATTCAATAACAAAAAATGTCTATTGTTAACGTGCTTAATAAAATTGAGATCATTAGCTAACTTACAACTTTTAGTAAGAATGGAGAAAAACAAACTGAACGTTTAATTCTTGCAAAGAACATAAGACTACCTGAAAAGCTGGTAAATTCTGCTATTTCAACTAACCGTTAATAAAAGCTTCAACAAGTGTAAACGTTCTCAGCCCTAATCCCACCAGGCATTTGGAACAGAACTTGTCTAAATTTATTTTGCAATTTTTTTAATTTTTGAACAAGATATTGTTAATTGGAGATTGTCGGGGGGGGGGGGGGTCATTTTTTGTCTAACTTCTAAAACTTGAAACTCTGGTGTACAGTCATGTGCCACTGTACATGGGAATAGCGTCACATAGGCTCCTAAAATGGAGGGTATTAAATTATAAGCAATACAAATAGTTATATCACTGTCATCCTTTGAGTAAAAAACATCTCACTCTTTAAAAAGAGGGTCAATAGAAAGAGAGTGAGCCTGTTCTACGCAGACTACAAGTAACTCCTCTGGGCTTCTGCCTCAGGGTTATTGTGAATGAAACCCACAGAAATCTTGAAAAGACGACATCTACTGTCCTATCTGTTATTTTAATTAATCAATGATTAAAATTTGAAAATAAAACAAAAAGCTAAATTTCTATTTACAAGCAAATCACAATTCCACATCACATAAAATATTCAGCTATGAAAATAAAAGCTTAAAACAAAATTTGAAAATGCAAGTAAGAATTCGCTAATTTGCACAATTTGAAAACTCAAACAAATCTCAATTTTTTTCTTAAGAGTTAGGAAATCACCTCAAAATAGCACACACAAAAAATGAGAAAATTAGTTTGAGATTTTGCGTTTAAGAAAAGCTAGCAAAATAATACATTGAAACAATTATATTTTGTTTCATGAATACTGTATGTCAAAGATATTGCTATGTGAATCAGACTCAATGCAAATAATTATGCATCTCAATCAGGAATAATTAACAAAATTTAAAAGTCTTTATAACCAGTATGCGTCTTTTTCTTTCAGACTTGTCAGAAATAAAGTTATTAGCAATTTATATGTAATTTTCTATGAACCAAATCGGTTTAAAGAAGTTCCAAGAAAAACTATTGAAATCTAATCACTTTTCATTTTAATGGAAATTGACCAATTTAAAAAAAATATTTCAAGCAATTTAGTTCAAAGCTTAAAGAATAATAATCTTTAGCAAACCCAAACTTTTAAAGCCCATGATACTATAAAGAAAAGTTGTAGCTAAGACCAATAGGTAAAGTGAATTCTAATCTTAACTTTTGAGAAGCTTGACTGCAGTAATTACTGCTAAGCTAACTATAAATTTTGGACAACAATGATCTTTGATTATAGAATCTTAAAAATTGTTAGCAATGATCAACTAAAAAAAAGTTTTATATCAAGTTTTTTTGTAAATTTTTTGTTAATTTTAGAGTTTGCCATTCGCAGATTTTTCCCAGTAGTACCAAGTGAATTCAAGAATCAGTTTCTTAGCAAGATCGGACTTGATTATAAAACCCCAGATTCAGATCTAGATATTTTCTTTTTAATTTTCAAGAAACAAAGAATGCCAAAATAAGAAAACCATGCATCCTTTGATAGGATAGCATTCTTTCATTACATGTGGTACACCCTCCAAAACTAAAAAATTTACAAGTTGTGTATATACTATTTAAAGTTAGCATATGATTTGTATTTCCATGGAAATTTGCTGTGGTAGTTCGGGATTTCATATAAATAAGTTACATATTGAAGCTGTAAATTTAATTCTTATCTTAATAAATGATCTGGGTTTGCTAAAACTCACCACCAATGCTATAACTTTTCATTTTAATGTTTTGGAGTTCTTTTATATAGTGATCATTTTGATTATTCTTATTTGCAAGGAATAACAACAGATGTAAATTGGGCATTCGGGTTCTTTAGAGCAGTTGTATCTTCAATCCAGTTTTCTCCATCATATACTTCAATACTCCCTCCTCCTAGCACTGTCAGCTTATTATTGAGTACTTGCATTGCAAAAGTGTTTCGTGCAAGATTCATATCATTGATCATCCTCCATGTGTTGGTGTTTAAGTTGTACACCTCAACAGAGCTAAAAAAGAAATATATTCTGATTCAGTTTGTTGTCTAAATTCTGAAATGTTTCCCTTCACAAAATGTGTATTTCCATTTAAATCTTCAGTTGCAGTGTCTAAAAACATTTGATATTTTCTATGGTTCTATGAAGAAAAATGAACATACCTATATGGGCCAGTAAAACTCCATCCTCCAGCGATGTATATTTCCTCGTTATAAATAGCACATCCATGACCAGATCTAGACATTTTGAGTGATGTTATTTACCTTTATTTATTTTTCTTTAGTTCCTTTAAAAGGACTGTAAAGGAAAAATGAAAGGGAGTATAGGCTGAAACCTAAGAACTTCCGGTGTAGATAGCGTCCCGTAAGAGTTTCATCTGATGTTCCAGTCTCGAGAAATTGATAAAAAATGTGTCAAAATGATGCCAAAACTTATATATACAAGATTTGATGTAATAATCTAAATTTATTAAACAGATCATATTCAGCAGATATGCAACCAATCTGAAAACAACGATATCCCAGAGGAGCATGAGCCCATTATTATTTGAATTTAATAATTTTTCATTTTTGATAGATATAATGGATAATATAATTAATACGTCTGTATCACATGACTAGAACTCCCACCAATGGCAATGCAGTACACATTGTCAAGTGTCTCTGTCTGTATCATTGGCAGAACTGGCAGCGCCAGGATGTCTTAACAAAATAAGGCTAATAGGCAGTCAGTGATGTCACATCTGGACAGAACTTCCCAATACCGTATCACCCTTTCATATGATGGGAGCTTTGTTGGGATACCTTATTACCTTTCTTCACATTTATTGTTCATTTTTATACAATTAATATATATATTCAGTCTAGATAAGATTATTTTGCCTTAGCATATTCTAGCTTTTAATTGATCTCTGTATTTTCTTATCTCTATCTGGGATATACTTCTGTTGATTTTTTTAATGAATTAATAACTACCTTGCAACATTCATAACTGGCAATGTTTCAATCAATTCTCCTTCAATGTTGTAATTCTCAACAGTGTTCATTAGATAGTTTCCAGCTCCCCCAAATCCACCAAGCATTATCAGTTCAGTTTCACTAAAACACAATTCATTAAAGTATTTTGTCTATATCCCAAATTTGGTTGATTCTATTTCGTTTGGTTTAAATTTGTAAGATTCATAGATTTTCCAATAGTTCATTTTTATATTGTAAGAATTAATCACCAGTAAAAGCTTATGCAGCAAACAAGAGCAACAATTAAATGTTAGGCATCTGATTATTTTTTAAATAGTAGTACAAAAAGGTTTGATAATCAAGACTATAGAGATCTAAGGGCTGAGCTTTAGATGGATATTGGCAGTGCACATTTGTGATGTACAAGAAGTCTGTAATAGTTTGCATTATAATGTACGCTACCTAATACTAATTCCACTGTGTCCTCTTCTTGCACTGGTAAGATTATTGCTGAGAGTTGTCCATGAATTTCCATCAAAGCGATCAATCATATTATAGTTACTAAGCAATATTTATTCTTAAAATATAGTATTTCTTATTCCATTCAACCTTTTATGGGTAACATTTTTATGTTTACATTTGTATTGTTTCAGTTGCTTACTGCCTGCGCAAGGATGAGGATCTCTTATAGTGGCTCAAGGCTACACAGTTGGGAAGAGCACTGTGTAAAGTTGCTCATGGTGTATCCCACACGTGAGTAAGGAGTGAAACATAGAAGGTAAATAAAACAAGAACTCCATCTTTCGCTTGGCTCAGCTGAAAGAAGGAGTATAACTCCTGATGGGTATACAAGCTATGCACAATAATACTGGTTTTTTACTCAGCCAGCTGTTTGGACTGGTCTACTGTGGAAGATTCCACCTGATGGGGCTTCAAGGCTGTCAACTCCCCATTTTGCATAAGCAGTGCAGTTATGGGTTTCCTTAAATTTCTCTTAAGTCAGAATAGACTCTAACAAGAAGGAAAACAGGCCTCAAAGCTTGAAACAAGAAACAAGAAGCAAGAAGAAAAAAGGAAATTGAACAGGAAAAATTGGAAGGGAAATCTCTTGATATTAGAGATGGGGGCTTGGAAGACGTCCCCCCCCCCCCTGAACAAGGAAATTAACAAGAATTGTGTGTTTTGATTAGTCAGATGTAAGTCATGAGTAAACAATTCAATACAGAGTTCAGAAAAACCAAAGCAAGATCCTCTCAGCTAGTTCTAGCTTGTAGTGTGGCATACTAAAAGGATATCCCAAAAAATATATTTTTTTTTGAATTAGCTGAAATATGATTGAAAGATGTACAAACAAGAAGAAAATGAAGAGTAAGAAATATTGAAATATTGAAATACTTTCATCTGATATCATATAAATATTTAATGAATACCATAAAAAATTTTAAAATACAAATGTAAAAAAAAATTTGTATTGTTTTAGTGAGTCTAACTAAACGTAATACCATCTAGATGAAAGTTTTTTAATTATCAAAAAGAGTAATAAACTTTACTTACTGATCCATGCTTTGATCCCATCCTCCAGCGACTATGATATATGCTCCAATAGCTGTCCAAGAAGAAACTGTTCTCTTTATTAGAAATGTTTTAATCTCTCCCCAGTTCACATCAGCATTCGAGTAAAACCTTATGTATTAGAATCTAATTCAGAAATTCAGAAGTTGCTTCTTTTTTTTAATAGGAAACCTTTATGGGGAAATTTGTCTGCCTTTGAAGAAACAAAACTTTGCATGTAAATGTCCAATTTGCAAAAAATGTTTTTGAATCCTACTCAAAACCATACTAAGCAAACCTTACCATGTTTATGCTGCTTAGACAAGGGTCCCCAATGAAATGAATTTTTGAAAACTTTTTTGAATTCCGCAATTTTCCACACAAATGAAAGTTGGTTGAAGCAAGCACAAATAGTGTGGAATTTAATATTTGCTGATGATGATTTTTTCATTTGGATGGAAACCATTGCTCAGACTGAGCTTCGGTTAAATGCCTCTGAGAAACTGCAGATACTACACAAGTGAGAGTTTCTGGTATTTTTTTTGATCTTTTTGAGGAAGCTAAATAAACCTAATTTATCATTCTTTCTTGGTGCTTTCAATATAGGGACAAAAGCCTTTTTTCAAGGCAACCTTGTATGATATTTTAAAAATGCTTACTTGTTTTTGTCTCCATTGTAAACAAATATAATACCATTGAGTACTGCTACCCCTGCAAAATGATGTTTTTTTAATATCACAACAACAAAATTACTAGCTATCAAACCCCTAAAACTGTCTCTGGGTTTAGGAGTCTAATTCAAATATATAAATTAAGGGAATTCCAATTGTGATAGGGTAAGGCAACTCTAACCATGCAGCTAAAAAGCCTAGGATAGACTTACAGAGAAAACGACATTCTTAGTAAATAGCAAGCAAGGCAAAGATTTCTTAGACCAAATAAAACAACATATGAAGATATGGCATAAAAGCAAATCTCAAAGCTTGAACATAGTTGCTTTAGTTCAGTGTGCTAGAACAGTTTTTAAATCTAGGAGAACATCACCTCCTTGTTGACCCCCACTATTATCCATGACACCAATATGTGATGGTATTGGGAAACCGCAAGGATATGACTCAGAATTCCCAACTAAAACAAACATAGTTATGGGTCATAATTAGGGCTGGCACAATTGGCAAACAAAAGGCTGCTTTGAATATTAACAAAATCAATGTTATTTTCCAAACAATAACAAACTAAATTAACCCTTCATGATGAAACAAAATGCAATTTTTATAAACGGACACTTATTTTTTTTAGTTTAAATCACATGAAACACATAATAAATAATGAAAATAAAATAAAATAATGTGTAATGATGTTTTGAAAGTCCATGTCTGTATATTTCTGAAATTTAAACCCCAAAACCTTTATTTGGACAGCCATACAACTCTCTGTTAAACTGACAAAAATAGCAACTTTGTTAACAAACGAAAAAAAAGGCAAATAAATTCATTATTCTTCAAGAGGTTAACAAGGGAGACTGCAGAGTCGCCACAAGCCCTGCAAAATACCTCTGGCGCTTCCTGATTGACAGAATAACCTCCGAGTACCTTCTACCATCCACATGCCTCTCTTTACTTATCTTATGTCAATCATTTGGCTTTTACATTCACCAAAGAGCCTTTATTTTTAAATCTCAACAGTTAAAATGATGCATAAATTTGTATTAAAAATTATACTCTAGTTGAGATTAGGACTTTTATTTTGTTTTTCTAAATTTTTTAAATTCCTAATCTTGTGCAAAACCATTGCAGCTTTATATAAAGATAGACAAATGTTATTTGATTTAACAATCAGATTATGTTCAATATGAGCACCAATTCACCAAACATAATAGATTTTGAAAAATACTTTAATTTGTCCTTTGTAAGTTAAGAGTTGCGGGTAAAGTCATTTTTGTAAGGCATAAAGATGGTTTTGAAGGGCTTAGGATTATACTGCGAATCAGAAGGCTCCTGAATTTATTTAGCAGGACTCATGGTGGCTCTGCAGTCTGCACCCCCTCTTGTGGTCAACAGGATTCAATAGTAATTCTTTTTAAAAGTTCTTATTTCAACAAATTTACCTTTCTCCATGAGAAGAACAGTTTCCTTTTTCAACTAATCAAATAGATTGAGTTTATAGATCAAGGTTGTACTTTAGGTAGGCTTGTTTTTTAACTTTCAAGATTTCAAAAAGTGAAAAATGTGAAAACGATCCAAGACGATCATTATTATACATAATTATTTGGATCATTTTTGCATATTTTTTCTGTTTAGGTTCAAAATTTGGCAAAGTAATGAATAGAGTCACTAAATATTTCACAAATAATTTTCTATAAAAGAAGAACATATTGAGACATTTTTTTTGTTAAAGGAAGTGTTCGCAGAAAACAATGAAAAGGGGTATAATAGGTTGAATACTGATCAAATTTGGATTAAATCACTTCTAATTTTACTTCTATGGAGATAATGGTTGAAAATGCTTATTGTCAAGATCAGAGAGCCCATTCAATGTAAATCCAATGTAATGTAATATCACCCAAACTCAAAGTCATATAATTATGTTTATAATTGATATTTTACTTATTACAAATTACAATACAGAAATCCTGAATTTTAATCTGGTCATTTGAATGTTTAAAATTAATATTAACAAGAGAAATTTTAACAATATTCATTTAAATTTAGAAGATTTTTGATCAATTTGATATTATTTGATCAATTAATTGTTCTCCTCTTCTCTTCACTTGAGCCAAAATGATCAAGAATGCCCTGCATCAAGATTTTTGTCAAAATCGCTGAATTTATTGGACTTCTCCACTCTCAGCATAAGCGTTTCCATCCAGTTCCTGTTTATAGACGCTACAAATTTGATTCATATTCAATATTCATCCTAATAATCCTTTCATTTTCGTGAACAATCCACTTAAGATACTAATGATTGACTGACCACTTTATTCAGACTGTTTGCTGCAGCATCATCGATGAACATGACTCTAGAATTTTCTTCCAGAACTTCTTCCAAGATGGTTAACTGAATATAAAAGAGGTTTTGAATTAAATTACAATTTTTTAAGTGTAGACTTTATTTCAAGTGAACTTCTATTTAAAGAGATGTTCGTTAAGCCCTTTATGGAGTGGGTAGTACTAGAAAACGTTGATTATCAAAACGTCGATTATCAAAACGTTGATTATCAAAACGTTGAATAACAAAACTCGATGAAAAAAAATGTTGACTGCTAAAAAACATTAACTACTACAATTATTAGGCCTAAGTCCTGGTTAGTGAATTTACTTAGGAATATGCTGAGAATATTTCAAGATATTCCTGAGGAACTCTTGAGAAAATCTTGGGAATAGTTCCCAGGAAATTCCAAGGAATTGATTCTGAAGAACTTTTCGCTGGAAATTCCCAAGAATTTCTACAAATTTTGTCGACATTTTCTCCGGGTTTTCTGCAGAATTGGTAACAAGAAATTCCCTGGAATTGGTTACAAGAAATTCCTTGGATAGAGAATGATGATAATGTCCTCGGAATGGGTTACTAGAAATTCCTCAGACCTGGTTCCTCGGAATGGGTTACGAGAAATTCCTCGGAATAGCTGTCGACATTTTCACCGGATTTTCCTGTGAAAGATTCTTGGGAATTTTCGTGGATTACCAGGAACAATTCCTGGGAATTTCCGCGGATTTTCCACAAAATTGTTACTTGGGACCCAACCCAAAATAACGTTAATCAAAATTCAAAAGTTTTGTAGCAGTCAACGTTTTGCAGTAGGTGATATTTTTTATCTTCAATGTTTTGTTATTCGTTGTTTGATATTTGTCGTTTTGATAATTGACGTTTTATATTCGAAGTTTTGATAAATGAACGTTTTTATAATCCGTCTTTTTCTTTCTACAAGCTTATCATTTCCAACAGTGGGATCTCTAAACAAAAAGATTTTATTTAAAATTGTTAAAATGATCATTAAAGGAAACTGTTGTGAATCGGGTACGTCACTTATGAAATGGAGGTACCCTTGAAATTTTATCGAAAGTCCCACTTAACCTTTATTATTTATGCAAATAATTTGAGAAAAACTTACATTTGCTAGAGTGCAGAGGGTAGAAGTTGTGTTGTAGAGAAAAGAGTTGCAGTTGGTTGGAGTGACAGCACAGTGCCCAGCACAGGTGATAATACTGTGGTCTATCCTCTTGGGAAATAACCTTGTTAGTTGTAAAATGTTTAATTTATTAGTTTTTAAACCTCCTTAACTCTATCTCTGCTGGGGTACTTGAAAACCAGGGGGGGTCAATTTGACCCCCCCTCTAAATCCAATGTTTGATGTCCAAATATGACAAATGATACATCATTGGAAAGCTCTTGTGCTCTACTTTTAGAATCTACAAAAACAATTGCAAAATTGTAAATATTGAATTTTTTATCGCAAAATCCAGTTATAAAGTAAAAATGTTCACAAAAAAAAATTTGTCCAAAAAATGAAAAATTATACATTTTTGAAAAGCCCTTGACCATGCCATTTCAAATATGCACAAATTTTTGCAAAATTTTAAATAACCTGATTTTTATCAAGAAAAACTTAAATTGTGCAAATTTCCTATGACAGGTTGTTTGCAAAAAATTTACAATTTTTTCACAAAACTTGTGCAATTTGTTTCCTTATGTCAAAGGCTTTCCAAAAAGCTAAATTTTATCAAAATCTGACAAGAGGAAGTGGATCAAAACAAAGATATAGTTTGTTACAGGAAAAAGCAGTCATTCAGGCAGTGTGCCTGAGAACTCAGGTAGTTAGTATGAAAGCCCGGTTTTATGCCTAAAGGGAGGGCTTTGGGTGTGTAGGAAACGTCAGAAAATTTCAACAGCCTCAGATCAATACTTTTTGAGTTATGTAAAAAAAACTACAGGGGGGGTCAAATTGCACCCCCCCCCCCAGCAGGAATAGGGTTAAAAAAGGGTGTCTAGGGAAACATGACAATTCAGAGAGTCCTTGATCTTCAAAATAATTAATCTATTATGCTACATGTATGGTTCTTGAAACCTTATTCACAAAATTCCCATAGCTCTGGCATTTTTAAAATTTAGATTGCCTTTTTTGATCTGTTACTATTACTGGAGATACAGTTTTTTGTTGAGAAATCAATTTATCAAATGAAACCAAAATTGTTGAATCTGCACAAAACTCCCGTAAATTTTGAATGAAAAAAATGGCAAAGTACATTTTTGAAATCCCAGACAAGGAGTATTTTTACCATAAATTAAAGATTTTGCATCCAAAATTAGGTAAATGAATGAATGCCAAAATTAACTCAATTATCAAAGACGACTTTCAAGTCGTTTTTCAATTATCATGTTTCGTGGGACACCTTGTATCTTCATATTGGTTAGAATTAATTAAATTATACTTTTTATCTTGTTAGTTTTTTGTTTCATAAAACGTCAAAGATTGTCACGAAGACAGATGCTTAGATGCTAAAGGAATTGCAAGTCTTTGTCACAAATTCTGATTCTCTAATCCCTAGATCTTTGCAAAAAAATGTTGTAAACCTAGATATTTCAAACTAGACCAAACAATCAGATTGAAAATTTAAAGGGATTTGGAAATTTGAGCTTTGTTCAATGTTTAGTAAAGTTGTTATTTTTCCTGTTTAAAAACAGCCTGATCCCAGGTTGCTTTTGATATATCACCACTTTTCCTATAGATTCTGAAAAGAAAAAAGATACAAAATCAATATTAACTTTTGTAGAGAAACCACTAATGAAAGTAATCAATTTTTAAAAAAATGCTGATTCATATTAGTCCAGAAAAAATCTTTAAGGGAACCGCTCAGAATCGGTCATCCTTCCCTTTCAATGAAGTGTAACTTAAAATAACGTTTACATTTTCTATTTAAGTCCCAAATAAAATTGAAAAATTGGTGTTTTATGGACAAATATTAAGATACTGATTCATTGGGGCTGGAAGCCCCCCCCCCCCCTCCTTCTCGACTTATATGGTTAAATTCATTCATTAAATTCATTCCATTCAGAAATAACCATATTATGTAGGCTCAAAGTATTTCTCTTTAACAGTTAAAATTAAACGAAAATATCAATTTCAAACTGAACACATGACACAAGCTCTTATTCTCTTATTTCTATATTTTTGCAACTTATAAATATTCAAACTTTTGCTGTTTGATCCAGCAAATTTTATAGTTTGAAATATCAATGGTCTTCGACATCAGGTTGCAAATAATGAAGAATAATGAAATTAGAACTTGTTACTGGGGTTCAGTTCCTTTACTTACCTTCCATGCACAGTATTTGTGAGGAGGGAACAGATCACTATCATTCTCAGCCCGTACATCCTGCGGGTAGATGGGAATCGTTTTTGTCAACGAATAGCATTTTCGTGAACGAACTAAATTTTTCGTGAACGATTGTGTCATTCAGAAAAAAATGAATAATTGACGAACGACTTGGGTTTTTCAGATATTAAGAAAAGTTAGGTAGGTTTTTAGTGCGCTTCGTGTCCATCTTCTATTTCAATTGTGTTGTGAACATGCTCTTTTTGTAAACATTGTAAAACAAACAAAAAACAAATTTTGAGAATTTTATAATAAAAATTTCGTGAATTTTCAAAATTTTAAGAAATCGAATTTAGTTAGAGGTAAATTTTTGAAAATTCGATCATCCATAAACCTTCCCAGGGACACACGAGGTCCTGGAAGTTTGAAACCATCCTGGAAATGCATAGGACTCCGGGCAAGAGAACGGTTTCTCAAAAATATAATGAAATTATCCTGATCGCTGCGCAAGATATTAGGACTGTAAAGACTTTGGCAAGTTTTAGTTCCTGGGTTACCACTGTGGGCAGTAGAGATGGGCATTGTTTTTATGAACAAACGAAATATTTAAAAACGAACGAAATATTTCGGGAACGATAGTGTCGTTTAGAAGAATTAACCTTCAGAGTAATTAAGAACCGATTTTTAAAACAATCAAGAAAAACAAAAAAGATTCTCCTTTTAAGAATGAAATCGTTAATACAAACGAACTTGAAAAATAACTATCATTATGTACAAAACAACAGATTTTTTCGAATAAACTTTTGAAGAAACTATCCTTTTTAACAAAACGAACTTTATGAAAATTGATAGTTTTTTACTGAACAAACGATTTTACTGAATGAACAATTTAATTGAACGAAACTTAGAAAACAAACAAAATAGGTGGAAATTAACAACTTTCTGAAAACGAACGCACCTATCTGTAGTGTGTACTTGAAACTGATACCTTGAATACCACTGTGTGTACTTGAAACTGATACCTTGAATACCATTCAATGTGTGTACCTGACACTGATACCTTGAATACCATTCAATGTGTGTACCTGATACTGATACCTTGAATACCACTGTGTGTACCTGACACTGATACCTTGGATACCTTTGTGTGTATCTGACACTGATACCTTGAATACCACTGTGTGTATCTATTACTGATACCACTGTGGACACCTGGCATGAAATTGCCAACTTTGAAACTGGCAAACCAATTGTAAAATTGATTATAAACTAATAAAACTATTGAAGGATTAATTTTAAAGTTTCATTAAAGTTTGATAATTATATAGAAGTATTAATGGATTTATATAAAGTGCATTAATATATAAATATATAACAGGAACTACTAAGAAAATGATCAGAAAAGAGTATTGAAATGGCTTAATATTCAGAAAAATTACAAAGAATGGCTGAAATATCATCAAACCAAAAAATATGTTGAAATTTAAAAGTAGGTTAATATTCGAAAATGTGCCCGGCCTTTTTACCAAAGATTTTCAAATATAGGAATTGAGTCTTTGCCACAAACTCAGATTTAAGGGCGGTTTAAATTGCATTCTGCGACCGACGGGTTTCCCGACGCTCTAGCACCCTCCTTATATCTTTGCAATCTATTGGTACAAAACTTTAATATTTCAAAATAAATCTATTTGATCTAATAAAATTTATATTTTCAAGTATATAAGGTCTACGAAATTGGGTTGCAAAGATATTGGGATTAGAACTTCTGAAAAAATTTCTTTAGATTTTAATTTAATGTTTGCGTTACAAACAACAGCATAGAAAAAATTCGCATTTTCAATAATAGAACTGAGGATTTTTTAACATAAATGTCGAAAAAAGATGTATGAATTCTTTTGAAAATCTTTAGGAAAGGGACCAACTACACTTCGAGTACATTTTGAATGTTAAAACGACATTTTAGAGTAAAATAGTTCTGCGACGTACCCCCAATTTTTAGTAAATTAAAACGACGATTATATGGTATGACCATATTTTCAAATATTAGGCATAATTTGAAGGTTACAACGGCATTTTACTGAACAAACGATTTTGTTCAGTGAGAAAACGAACAAAATAAATGGTTAATGAACTACAATTTTGAGAATGAACAAAATTATTTATTTTTTGAACAATAAAAAACGACGATTAATGATGAACGAACGAAATGAGAAAAGCCGAACGCGCTCATCTCTAGATACAAACTTGGGTTCTCAACAGTTCCTTACAATGTCAAGTTTGGGCGCAAATTGATAGATTATCATTTGAAGTTTGTCTTGTGTATGACAATGATTTAATCAGGTATAAATTTGCAGCATATTGACACTTTAAAAGATTTTTATAAATATGTGTATAATAAGATATTTTGTTATGTTTAATTTATATGTGTAGTTGGTTAATTCGAGACAAATTTAAATATATGTTTACATATTCTATTATGAATTTATAAACATACAAACATAAAAATGATAAAAGTAGCGTTTTTTTTACTAGCATTTTATCTAGTAGCGTTTTATGAGATAGCGTTTTATGAGGTAGCGTTTTATGAGATAGCGTTTTATGAAGTATTGTTTTATCTATGTAGCGTTTCATGAGTGTAGCGTTTTTCTAGGTACACCAAAGCAACCTGCGCTTTTATTCTGTGGGAAAAAGTTCTACCAATCCTTGTAATTCTTGTGAGAGCTTGTTTCTGTCTAATCATCATGGAGAATTTAAACAAAAAACTACACATTCAACAATCCAATGATTTTATCACGGCTAAGCTTATTGGTAGAGATGCTAGTGAAATGAAAAGGTAGCATGGCGGCTAAAACATGTCTGCAACGAAAGAGCACTGCAGAAATAAAAATATTTCAAAGTCAGCACTATAATTAGACAATCCATTGCAAATACCGTTAAAATTAGATATATTTGTGGATCGAGCGAAAGACTTTATTGGTGCAAAGTACTTCTATCCTCAGTAAAAGATGTTATCAATGATAACAAACTAAGAGATATAACCCATGCATCCCATACGACGCGCTACGCCTGGTCCAAAATATCTACTGGAGCTTTAAGAAATTGAAACTAAATTCTTTTCCTTTACAATGGTGAGACATCCATTTCCAAAATCCTAAAAATATACCACCCGCAAATACCTACAAGAATTTGAGAAATTTCCCAAATGACTGGGTACCTGGGAAATTTCCCAACTACTTGGGAATCTTGGAATTTTACCAAATGCCTAGTTATCTGGGAAATTTCCAAATATCCAGCCATTTGATAAATTTCCAAAATCTTAAAAATTAAAAACCCTAAAAATAATAAAATGAGAATTAGGGAAATTCCCCAAATTCCCAGACATTTGAGGAATTTCTCAAATACCCAGACATTTGGTAAATTTCCCAAATGCCTAGGTTTTTGGGCAATTCCCCAATTATCCAATCATTTAAAAAAAATTCCAAAATTTTAAAAATATATCACCCTCAAATGCCCATAGGAATTTGGGAAATTTCCCAAATGCCTGGGTATCTGAGATTTTTTCCAAATGCCTGGGTATCTGAGATATTTTCCAAATGCCTGGCTATCTGGGAAATTTCCCCTAATACCCATAGGACTGGAATTTCCAAGATACCCAGGCATTTGGGAAATTCCCCAAATTCCCCAAATATCCAGTCATTTGAGAAATTTCCAAAATCTTAAAAGTATACCACCCTCAAATTTCCCAAATGCCAGGGTATCTGGAAAATTTCCCAAATGTCTGGGTATCGGAAATTTCCCAAATACCTATTTAAATTAAAAATGTATTTACTGTCGTGTCATGCCAAAAAGTAACATGGAGACAACTTGAAATTATAAATCGTGAATCCCAGATATATGAATACATAGACCGTCATAAGTTTTTTGATAATTCTAAAGAAACTTCTGTTTATTTTTTAATTCAAGGTAAATTAATATCCCTGAAATATGAATACATTCGATATATTAATATTAAATTCATATATATCTGGGATTTACTGTATAGGGTATGGCCAGGTTTAGAAAAGCTGTTTGTACTCATCCTCAATCAAATTTCAAACTTTTGGATAACTGAAGATTTGTTTTTATGCAAATCTGAGGTATGTTCAAAAATTTTTATGGAAGGGGAGTATAAGGAAGGGGAGTATAAGGAAGGGGAGTAGAAGGAAGGGGAGTAGAAGGAAGGGGAATAGCAGGAAGGAGAGTAGAAGGAAGGGGAGTTTAAGGAAGGGAAGTAGAAAGAAGGGGAGTAAGAGGAAGGGGAGTAGTAGGAAGGGGAGTAGAAGGAAGGGGAGTAGAAGGAAGGGGAGTAGAAGGAAGGGGAGTAGAATAATAAATCTTATTTAATTACCAATCACCGAATTTTAAATTGTTTTTTTTCTGTTTGTGTTTTTATTTAATTATCTTAATATGTGTTTAATTAATTTGAAAGTTTTTGCAAATTATTAAAAAAACTGAATAGTTATTCCAGAAATTCTGAATAGAAAGTTTTCGTATTTGGCCACCAGGTGGTGTCTATGCTATTAAAGAGGTGGCGCGTGCTATGTATATAGAGATTCTTACATTTTTATCCACTTTTTTTAATAATAATGACATGTATTTTTAACTGTTTTAAAACTATTGTTCTGCATTCAGTTTTTCTTAAAAAAAAAGTAATTAAAAAATGTGGATTTTTTTTCATTTTTGCAATTTTCAAAATATTCATAAATAATTAAGAAAAAGTTCTGCCGTTCCATTTTCCAAAAATTCTTATTTTTTTGATAATGTAAAAAAATTTACAGTGCAGATCTGTGAACACTGATTATACACAGATGCCGCAACTCTCATTCATCCAATGTAATGTATGTCACTTCATGTTCTATACCTATGACACCGATTCCCGTTGGTCCCCGATCTCTGTCCTTATTGCAAAGATGACGGATTATATCCCTTGCATACAGAGCGTACACTATAGTCAGTTGAATCTCTAATTAAGCATCTTAAAATAGAGCGTTTGTGAGCCACCCTCCTCCAGGATATCTTAACAAACGCTAAATTTTCCTACAAAGCCTATAAATCAAAGTTTTAGTCCGGTTTTGGCTGATAGAAATACAATGAATTAAAATTATGGCTAATAGCTTAAATATTTATCAAGTGATTTAATTTCAAATTTTGAAATACAATAAAACAGTTTCACTTCG